TTTGAGATCTCTGCGCATGCTGCACGTGGTTTGGTGTTTTTACTTGGTCTACGCGCTGACATTGTCCGAAAAGAGGGACTTGTTGAATATAAATATAAAATTTTTAAGTGTAATATTTTCTAAAAAAAACTTCATTCCCAACGGATCAGGATATTATAATTTATGTGATAAAATCTTCATTAATATATGAATAATATGACATTTTTCATGGGTTTATATTTACACATATGCGAAAATTTAATAATTCATAGTCATAAAAACAGTAATCTCTGCCCTTAAGCTAAAGTGTAACTGAAAGATGATTTATGAATCGTAATTATCCAAGCAAGACACAAAAGAAATTGCATATGAGAAAAACTCCTTCCTGGATATATACTTATTTGGTCGAGCTGGTACACTTGTAAACTATTGACGTTGATAAATTAGTCCCATATCATTGTCCGTTTTGAGCAAAATGAATGTGGGCAATATAGTGGAATCTTTCCAAGTTCATATACAATAATGTTTATTATTTTTACTTATTATTTATTACATATAGATTTTTTAATTAAATTTTTACAGGGGATAGTAAATAAACGTTTATTATTGTTATTGCAGGGGTGGGGCCGGACATCGCCTGAATTTATAACCGCATGGAAGGGTCTTCTACACTGCTCCCTTCCGCCCCAGCCCAATCAAATAATAATATCTGTAAAGTGAATTTATTTAAAAAAACAATAAATTTTGTGTTACTGTTTTTTTAAACCAAATTTCGTCCCGAATTTTGTATAATCCGTAGGTCCGGACTTATACGGCCATAATGCATAAATCCCGATTTATACCTGATACTTATCCGGACATAATGCATGAATTAAATATGGATCCCGGTTTTAAGATTAAGTAATTATTTATATTTATAGGATAAATAATAAAATTCTTATTAAACCCTCATTAAGTATTACGTATACAATTGTTTTAAGATTTTCAATTGAAGCAAATAATTAAACAGCGATAAAAATCGGTATAAAAAAACGTGCTAATTTAATTAAGTATGATCATCGTTTATACTTTTTTTTAAATTAATGATTAAATGACGGTGCATAAAAAAATTCCATCCATTTCATCTTAAACAAATTCTAATGATGTATCTTGTTTTCATAGCATTCATCTTATTCTTTCCTTTAGTCGTGCCTGAGGTAGATCATAATTCTGAATCGCTGCAAATCATACAAAAGAGAATAAGTGCCAATAGAGCTTCAAATGAATCTTTATTATGGGGAACTTATCGACCTAATTTGTATTTCGGCACAAGACCTAAATTACCTGAAAGTTTGATGACCGGTTTAATGTGGTTTGGGGTTAATGACCTAGAGAGTTTTCAAGGTAAAATTCTAATTTTTAACTAATTATTATTATTAATTTTTTTTTTCGCCTAAATTTCGATTATTAATTGATTTTTTCTATAGATATAAGGCATTCATGTGAACAGTCAGATAATTTAGAAGAATATAGTTATAAGAAACATGATGGCCGAAGTTTTGCAATTCAAACTATCACTGACGTAAAAAATAATGTGATATTGAAGATTGAATTCTTGAAAGTATCGGGTGGTGGACATGGTAAATAAATATTACTTGAAATAATATTAATATTAAAAAATTTTAAATTGTGGCTTTATCTTATTGTTTATAGGGGGTGATTGGGCCGTTCGAATATCTGGAAAACCTATTTCGGAAGGTACATGCTTTTTATATTTGTGATCGATCTTGATTGATCTTCACCTGTTCTCAATAAATTTGTTTTTTTAAATAGATAATCCATCAGGACTATCACTTATGTATTATTTTGGATTAGAAGGAGATGGGACTATAGATTTAGAAAATAGATTAGATCAATCGGTAACTTTTTGAGCGAGAATTAAAGTAGTTTTCCTTTTAAATGTAATAAACATGATGCAAACTTGTATATTTAGGGTTTAGACAATCCTGTTGAGCTTACTGGAGAAACACCTGATCTTGGACATTTCGCTATTAAGATAGTTGATGGTTCGTTTCGATATTTAGATTAAATAAAAATTATAATCATCTTTAATTCATCTTTAATTCGATATGTTTTTAATAGGTCCAGATAATAGGATTCCAAAAATTACTGCAGTGAAAATGCAGATGCATCCTGATTTACGAAAAACACAATATTGGGGGCATTTAGTTCCTGATGGTGATATATGGCGTGCGAAAGGTATGTATAAAAATGAAATATTTTGATTTACCGTTTCATTCCATTATGTCAGATGATAGACAACACTGACTTTATTCTTGAAAGTTTATCTAAAGGCGTTTTATTCCAAAAAGTTTGAATCTATGCATGAACAACTTAACGCTGGAGATATTCCTTCCCCGCCTTTCTTATTTAATTTACCTAATCAAATGCATGAAAATTCTAATTTTTATATTTTTCAAAAGATGGTTGAAGCTCCTTTTCAGGTAATTGTCTTATGATGTAACAAAAATTTATTATACGACTAATTTTCTAATGTTTTTTTTTGGCTTTGCAGTTTGATATCTTTTTTGAATCAGGTTCATCACCGGTACATATTGAAGGTTGGAAACTTTATTTATATGTGTTTTTTAAAGACTAATATTCATTTGCTAATGCAAATTCTTATGCATCATTAGAATTTGATTTTACCTCAAATCTTCAATCTAGTTCACAGGACTTTGACACGAAATTTGAGAGTATCTTTGGTTTAGCTTCAAAGGGGTTTGATAATGATCATATTTATTTTGCTCAAACTATGTTGAGTAATTTGATTGGTGGAATAGGGTGATTATTTTTGTTTCTTAAATGCAAATGTATTTTTTCTTTTAATACTTTTGATTTATACCAGTTATGTGTTAATAGGTATTTCTATGGATCAAGTATAGTTGATAAATCTTATACAGATGTGGATGAAAATGAGGAATATTTTTGGGATAAGAGTATGCAGGCTGATCCTCAATTAACATCACCGTCAGCCTTATTTAGTGCCACACCATCTCGTCCCTTCTTTCCTCGTGGATTTTACTGGTAGGTTACTTATTAATGTATAATTTTTCTTACTTAATTTTACACATTTATTCACAATTATGTTTACATTTCTTTACTTAATAGGGATGAAGGGTTTCATCAGCTTTTAATCGGACATTGGGATAATGATCTTAGGTGAAAATATTATATTATATCTTTGCATTTTGAATATTATTACTTATTTATTTACTTTATTTATTGCAACTTAATAGTTTAGATATAATCAAGCATTGGATATCACTAATTGATAATGATGGTTGGGTTGCGCGTGAGCAAATTTTGGGTGAAGAGGCTAGAAGTAAGGTATGTCATAATTCAATTCCATTGAATCTAGAAATACTTGCTATATCACAATCTCAGAGTAGCTTCCTAATTTGGAATCTATAAGATTTTCAAAATAGTCACGTCATCACCATTTATAACCGCTCACATCTAAGGATTGATTATTTTATAGGTTCCTCATGAATTTCAAACACAATATCCACATTATGCGAATCCACCAACATTATTCATGGCAATTGAAGCTTTTCTTGAACGATTGGATAATGCCACAGAATCACAGCCACAACAGTTTGGTATAGATGGCAACATTTTCACAATGTTATATTAATGCATTCTTATACGTATTCTTATTCATTCTTACTATTGCATTTCATACTTATGTTCATATGCAGTGGACACGGCTTTTAATAGAGTACCACAAGATATTCTAACTACTACCACGGATTCATCAATCTTACCAATACGTCATTTACAAGATTTAAATTTAGCAAAAAGTTTCTTAGCAGAAATCTACCCAAAATTAAGATCAAATTATAAATGGTTTAGGAGAACACAATGGGGTGAAATTAAAGAATGGGGTAGAAAAGCTAGTAATAGCAAAGAGGCTTACAGATGGAGAGGTAGAACTCCTGGGCATACTTTAACTTCTGGTAATGTATTTTTATATTTCTAAAGCATATGTTCTACATAATTTTTGAGTTGCATTCTCACTTTTATTATTGTTTAAAGGTCTGGATGATTATCCAAGACCAACACCGCCACATCCTGCAGAATTACACGTTGACTTAATGTGTTGGGTAGGATTTATGGCAAGATCACTTAGAAATATTGCCGAAAGGCTAGGTGAAGAAGATGATGTTGAAGATTTTGGCAAACATTATAAAGATATCATTAATAATTTACATGGTTAGTTTAGTATTTAGTTTTATTAGTAATTATGAATGTATGAGTTACATTCATGGTATTGATTTAACAGTTATGATATAATTAGAGGATCTTTAGTTATTAAAAATGATACTAAATTTTTTGTCTCAGATTTGCATTGGAGTGAGAAGGATCAAGCATTTTGTGATGTTTCAATTGACGAAGATAGTAAGTTATATTTTCAAATCTTCATTTAAATTCTGTTATAATTTGCATATTCAAATTAATTTCCTTCATAATAATAGATGAATCAGTTCATGTTTGTCACAAAGGCTATTTGTCATTATTTCCAATGTTACATGAATTTTTGCCAAATGATTCACCAAAACTTGGTGCTATTTTGGAATTAATATATAATCCTGAGGAGTTATGGTCACCGTATCCCTTTTCTGTTAAAAAAAAAAAAAGGATTAAAAGATTTTGGCCATATATTGATTATTATTTTTAATGGCAAACCTAAACAAAAAAAAATTAACAATAACCAAATAGATATGGATTAAGATCACTTTCAATATCTGATAAATATTTTAATACAGAAGAAAATTATTGGAGAGGGCCTGTTTGGATAAATATTAATTATTTTGTTTTATCATCTTTGTATAAAGTAAGTTATTTATTTAATAACTATAATATTATATTTTAGAATTGGTTTATTAGTATTATTAGTAATAACTTGAATTTGCTATGGTTACATATTTTATTTTTGATTAATTGAAATAGAATTATGCAGCAAAACCAGGGCCATATCAAGAAAAAGCAAAAAAAATATATAAAGAGTTGAGAGATAATATAATTAATAATGTTTATAATGTAAGTTTTTATTCATACTTATTTATGTATATAGTATATATTTGGATAAACAATTTATTCAACAGGGTAATTTATTTTAATTTAGGAGTTCAATAGAACTGGGTATTCATGGGAACAATATTCTGCTATTAATGGGGAAGGAGTAAGAAGGTATATATTTTTTTATATTTTTACATATAATTAGAGTGGTTTAATTTAATTATTGTTAAATGAAATTTTATTTTGAAATAGTCATCCATTTAACGGTTGGACTTCATTAGTTACGTTGATAATGGCCGAAAAATATTAATTATAGAGATTTATAAACTTATTTTTTGAAATATATATCTAGAATAAATGATAAAAGCCGAAAGATGTTTTTTAATATTTATAAATTATATTATTTAATTTTTTGGCAAAAAGAAGCCTTTACATTTAATACCGTTCCTTGTTTTAAATACATAGATTTATTGTTTTCCAAATTCGGATATTGTTAGTAAGAACTTAATCAGTAGAAACTGTCGTTAAGAATTTGGTTACCTACTTTTTTTAGTGATAGATAAAAAAAAGTTTATTTTCCGAAAATTTGGTCCGCATTTAAATTGTAAATTTAAATCAACATAATGATAAACTATCAAATTGTTGAAAAGCCAAACTTTATGGTTTTTTTTTATATAGAATAGGTATACAAGTTAATTTCTTGGTTTTTATCATACCACTAAACTTTGTGAAAGACGGCCGCACAGTTTTTTTTTAACATATTCACCCGGTTATTTTTACTGCTATTTTCATAATTTCTGGAACACCTGATAAAAATTGACCGAATGGTATTCCAGCCGATTCGATTAAGTTTGAAATTTCGGAATAATTTCAATAAAAATACTAAATTGTACGTATGCGCGTAAGTACGTACGTAACTTTTACATTAGCAATTAAATAGTGCGAAAGTTTTACCAGCACTACTAGACTTTATATGTTAGCTTTACAACCAACGTTATTTACATACAAATATTATATGCCAGAAACTTATATGTAAAATTACCCAAATTTCTACCCGCATATAAAAGCCATGATAATAGTTCTGCAGATAATTTTAAATATCGACACGTTTGATATTATTAAATTTTCATTTGAACACTTGTCCAACATGTTTAGTATGCTTAGTTTGTGCGAAAACATATATACATAATCAAATTACAATGTATATGTAATTTAGATCCGTACCTATCATGCCGAAATCAATGACTTAATCGGAACGGTCGAACAATCATTCGGTCAATTTTTATCAGGTGTTCCAGGAATTATGAAAATAGCAGTAAATAAAAAAAACTCGAGATTGACCCGGCCGGGTTATGAGGATCAAGAAATTGATTTTGTATGGTCTTATTCGTTTTTTTTTTCTCCTTTTTTTTTGAAAAAAAGTTAACCATTTCTGCGGATTAGGGATTAGACCCGGGTAGAAATTGTTACTATACGATTACCCGAAATATATAATAACTTACCCGGATAACCCGGTTAATTTAATAATACCCGGGTAGAGATTTTCTCAACGGGTCCAATCTCTACTGCGGATTTAGTGAAATTGAATACCCGAATTAACACTACTTAACATGCGCTTTCGACTCTGCGCCATGCACATCACCGTCTCTATTGAGAATCGTTCTCTTTTCGTTACGGTGTACGAATTTGAAAACGGTTCATATAAATAATCTTCATGTTTTTGATCATGTTCTCTTGTTCTCTTGACCTCAGCTTCACCGCTGCACTTCGCTTTGCTCCGAACAATATTTGTTTTATTTTTATTATCATTAGCAAATACCTGTAGCTATTTGGTTAAACAACGGAATATTATACGTATCTAGATCAAGTTTAAACCGAAACGTAATACTATTTTAAAAAAAAAGCCAGCATCATCGATACTGTATGTACTAAGGATTAGAACTGTTTAACCGTTTAAAATTGTTCCCTAGTTCTAAACCAAATTGTGTTGATAATGAGCCAGGATTATCTAAATTAAGCGGTTAGCAAAGTTAAACAGGTAAAACGATTAGGGTATTTACTCGGCTTCGTGTTCGTGGGCGTTTCGTTATTAAAACTGACACGCGAATATTAACCAATCAGATTATCTGAGTGACGGGATTATCTAATATGGTTGTGTTCATCCAGTGATTGCCTAATTTGTATCGCGATCACCAAACAATAGACGTGTCAGAAAGATATATAACTGTATAAAAATCACTGGCTTTTTTTTGTTTATTCTTTATATATATATATATATATTTACAACAAACTTTTAAAAGGTTGATAACAAAAATATTTAATTTATTTGAACCATTAATTTAATTTCGGCCGTGTAATATAACTACTCTTATATATATTATTATTAAATTACCAAAAAAGAACAGAGACAAGAAACGGGATTATTAAAGGTCTGGTCCGAGAGAAGATAATAAAGATGCTTCAAACTATTTTTCACTGATCCGTGTTATTTCACCGAAAATCAATTCATCGACAATTCATTTCACCGAAAATCAATTCATCGACAATTCATTTCACCGACAATTAATTCACCAACAATTAATTCACCGACAATTAATTCACCGACAAGTTTATTTCACCGACAACTATTTCAACTAGAATTTTATATATTCTTACATATTTTTACATATTTTACCATATTCTTACAAATTATGGTAAAATCAATACGCCAAGATTAAAAAAAAACTTCAAGTTTAATATATATTTTTTAAAATTAAATTTTTAACAACAAATTTCAATTTATCGCATACAATTAATGATTAATTTAATGATTAAACATTATTAGTTTTTTCTTGAATACTATGCGTAGCTTGAATAGAAAATTCAATTACGGCTTCATTATATCATTAGTATTAAAATTAGCAATGTTTTCAATTGTTTGCATTACATTTTCTTCAAATTTTTCTTTCAAATTATCATCATTATTTTCATATAATCAAATTCAATATTCGATACAGTATTTTCAAAACTTGCTTCATTAGAATTAGTTGTATTAGTTTGAACGATTTGATTAAGCTTATTTTCTTTATTTTGAACAATATGGTGTGAAATATTTGTTTTTTGTGCAATATGCTATCGAATGCATGTTATTTTTTGTTGCACGTTTATTTATAAATTTGTTATGCTGTGGTGAATGGATATTTGCAATAAATGACTAGTATCTTTCGCTTTCAGCAGAAGTGGGTGTATCAACATAACTCGTTTTATTTGTATTCGATGACACTTAAATTACTTAATAATATGTAATAATTTATAAAATATGTAAGTGTTAAATTTTAGCTATCGCTTACATAATTATTATATTGCACATCCCTAATTTCAATGCCAGCCCATTTTACCGACAAGTTTTTTAAAAAATTGCACTGACCTTAACTCTAATTCTAATCTGACCCTAACGAAAATGACTAGAATTATTTTGTCGGCGAAATAACTGTCGGTGGAATAAACTTGTCGGTGAATTGACTGTTGGTGAAATGGGCTGTCTGCGAAGTGATTGTCGGTGAAATGAGCACCACCCATTTTTCACTCAGTCAAGGAAGTCAAGAATCTTCTAAGCATGGTGATAATGCAGAATGGAATAGCTTTTATGAAAATATCTGGAAAAAAAGATGTGAAATTATTGTCGCGGATTATCGTGAAATTTGGATCTATTTTATGTACGATTTTTAAAAATTTTTTGAAGTCTCTTTTTTTATAATTAAGTTAGGAGGATTTTGGGTTAGAGTTATTAATAAAAGAGTATAGGTGGATTTTGGTAAGGTTTATATTTACAAATTGAGACCCCAAATTTCACGATAATCCGCGACAATTATTAACACTTGGGAAAAAGAAAACAGAATTAACATAAAGGTCAAGAGAAGGAAGGAAACAAAGAAACCAAATACCAGTACCAATAGAGCAGATGCAGAATCAAGTAAGAGCTCTAATGCAGAAATGCAGAACCAACCAGGAAGTAAAAAGGTGGGGAAAAAAAGAAAGAGAAGAACAAAGAAATTAACAACATGGTTCAAGGCTAGCTTGGTGCGGCCTTCCGGTATGGGTAAATCCTTAGCCGGTGCGGCAGACCGCTCCTGGGCGCTCTTAGAAGTAACCGAGAGATGTCGAATCTGTACCAAAGAGTAAAAAAAAAAAAAAAAGTGTTTACATGCTACAAAAAAAAATTAATACTGTTAATATTTTTAGTTCATAGAAAATATAAACTAAACGCAATAGAAAACATAGAATCAAGTCTCACTTATATTTTTTTCGTCAAGAAGCTTTACGACCAACTGGGATGTTCTATAGAATAGGTGGGCAAACTCCGCAACTCCGCTATTAAAAAATTAATGATTACTAATCATTAGCGAAGCTTATTTCTTATATTGTCCACCTATTCTATAGAACATCCGAGGAGAATTATTTTAAAAAGTATGTTGGGATAATTTTTTTATATCTGTTCTAATAAATTTTGGAGCAAATTAAATATTTATTATTTAAAATTTTTTTGATTTCGTTCTGTAAATTATCTAACTTTCCGAAAACTATATCGCTATCTTCGAACCTTCAGTCTGGAGACAGTAATGTAATGTAATTTCAAGTTTTAGGTAATATACAAAACAAAACCAAAAATATTTGAGATAATAAGCAAATTTTTAATTTGTTTCAAAACCTACAAAAGAGCTATAAGATAGTTCTCACTACTGCGTGTTGACATGCGACCTTTTAAGGCACCTAGGTCACTTCGATTACTTACATTTATGTCTTTTCTTTTACTGGGTTGAAGGTTTACTTTAGTTCGTTGTTTTATCTGGTGCCGGCTAAAGAAATTTAATCGCTTCGAAATTATAGAAGTTTTATTGGTTTTATTTTTAGAAAATAATGAATCACTTCATAAAAGATACAATAAAGCTGTATGCTATATGGCTATATGTGTAACTTTTTATCCGATTTAAAAAATAATAATTTTATAAAATAAAAAACCTTTATAACCCTTTAAATGCACAATTTAAAATTGAATTAAAATTTAAATCAAAGATACGTTATTACTAATAGTAATAGAAGTTAAAGAGTATTATTTAATGATTTTAAAATAATACACATGCGTTTTATATCGAACTAATGATTATAACTGTTTACTCATTTTGTTGTGGGCTTTCAATGGCTTGAACGTGATTATACATATACCAAGAGTTTGGTTTTTTTTTTTTTAGCAAATTCATAGACGTGCTTTTTCTAACGTAAGCATTTTAAAACCTATACCAGCCCTCAACATTCTCCTCAAAATCTTTCCTGATAGACTTTTAGGAATTTTATCAACAAACACTACACCTCCTCTTAATTTTTGAGAATTGTTAGCTTTACTCGCAACAAATTGTAAAATTTCTTGTTCCAATTTTATGGTTGGTCCTTGTCCTTGTGGTACGACATACGCACATGGCAATTCTGTAGCCTCTTTTTCCGAGTATATACCGATTACAGCAGCGTCGGCTATCGCAGGATGCGTTAAAAGGAGAGATTCTAATTCTGCTGGTGCTACTTGGTGACCCTAATGATAGATAAATTTAAAATATTGATTTATGTAAGGTTACTTACAATGCAAATAAGACTGAAACCCAACCAAATAGAATTTAAATGTTCCATTTTACCTTATATTTGATTAATTCTTTGACTCGGTCTATTACATAAAAGTATCCTATAAAACATATTTTATAATATTTTAGTTGTTGATTAAATTTAAATTTCACTATTCTTTGTTTAAGGAGCTTGTTTAATTACCATCTTTATCAACCGTAGCAACATCCCCTGTGCGGAACCAACCATCTTTGTCGATGCATTTATTGGTAGCTTCCTGGTTATTAAGATAACCCTGTGTTTTATTTTATTTTTTTTTTTTTTGAAGTTAGAAATTATTCCATATCAAATGACAAACTCTTTTAGAATAAATAGTACTTACTTTCATTACCATTGGACCACGAAGATATAGTTCTCCAGGTTGATCAAATCCAAGCTCTATGAAAATAATAATATTATATCAATAATGTTAACACAGTATTAAAGAAAAAAAAGGTTTAGTCTCTTACCATGACCTTCTTCAGATATAATCTTTGCTTGAATATTCGGAAGAAGAACCCCAACAGATCCTAAATATAAAATATATAGTTTCTTAAATAACTTATTAATGATCAAATAATTTTATAAATAAATGATTACCATTTACAAGTTTTTCAAGAGGTCCAATATGAGTTAGTGGTGAAGTCTCAGTAAGCCCTGTTAAAAAAAAGAAAGTAAAAATAAAAAAATTATATTTTCATCTTTAGTATTTATTAATTTTATACTGGGGATATTAATATCCACCACTATTTTATAATAAAAAATAGGTTTTTACTAAATTTAGAGTTAGGGTGAAGTTTACTACCAAAATAGAGGTTAGATATACTAGTCCAAATTTTATATTACACAAGGTTTTTAGGGGTACACCTGACCTCTGTTTCTTAGTCAATTTTTGAGATATAGTACCTCGGATATTAATATCTCCCGGTATAAATTAAAAATAGTCTAATATTTATTAATAGCAATAAAATATATAATTGAAACTATTCTTTACCATATATTTGCTTAATAGGAATACGATATATCCTGTCAAAATCGTCACTCAATGATTTGCTTAGAGGAGCAGCACCACACATAACATATTTTAGATTACATTTTGCGGGATTTTTCACCATAAGCAACAAGATTGGAGGTACGACAGGAGCAATATCAACTTTGTAATCTTGAATCGCCCTGTAGAACGTTTTGATATCGAATTTTGGAATTACGACTGATGTTGCTCCCTTTTAGAATTATCGGTAATAAATATATATATAGTATCAAATTAACGAGAAATCGTAAGATGATATGAGTGCTGCCAAGGGAAAACCTGTAAGCCAATTTTGAGGCATCAATAAGGCGAGTTTACCCCTGGGAAAATTGTGATATGACGTATTAAATCATTGTATACAATCAGTGTTCCGATTGTTTCTATATCATGTGCACTTGTCGCCATTTAACAGACTTAGGTTAATAAAAATTTTAATGACACTGATTGTATATAATGATTTAATACGTCATATTACAATTTTCTCAGGAATAAACTCGCCTTATTGATGTCTCAAAATTGGCTTACAGGTTTTCTCTTGGCAGCACTCATTTGTTAAAAGCAGTTTATTTTTTTTATTCTAATGCTTACTAACGATAAATTCTTATATATATTTTATATATTCTATAGGTTTAGAATCATATACAACTAGCGAACCAAGAAAGTACCGGGGTATATGAGGAATTTTCTGGACACATGATTTTATTCAACTGCCGATTCTAGAGTTAATACCAGGATCCGGATTTAATAACTTATATCCGGATTTACAGCTATTCTCATAAATTCTGGGACAACTGATAACCGAATTCGATAAGTTTCTGAGTTCGGCCAAAGCCAGTTACTTAGTGATTCCGACTTGGTAACTTATCAAATTAACATCAAAAATTTTCTACTTGTCCCTGAATTTATGATAATAGCTGTAATCATTATATTCGGATTTAATTGTTATATCTGGATTTAATTAATAGATCTGGATATAGGCGTAATATCCGGATTTAAATATGCGGGCACATTATCTTTGTCTGTTTACAAAACGGTTTCAGATATAAAGGGTAATACGTCTAAGTCTAAACATCATTATCCAGATATTACAGCTATATCCAGATCTATTAACTAAATCCGGATATAACAATTAAATTCAGATTAAATTCGGATATAAGCTATTAAATCTAGATTCAGACATTAACTCTAGCTGATCCTTCATCGAGATGGGATATGTAGCTGTGAATGCAAATATTTATTATATTTGAGTGTCGCTAAAAGAAAACATACACATTTATATAGGCTATGTTTAAATGTGTATGTTTTCTTTTAGCAACACTTATTTGTTATTTAATTTCTTTTACCTGAATAATTTGATATATTTATTTTATTTTATTTGTGATGTAAATATAAACAGATTGGACAAAAGTTAGCCAATCGTATAAATCAAATAATTGATCACCTGGCAGACTACAACGTTTTACTTTAAAAATCTTCTAATAATAAACCTGTGGGTATTTATGGGTACCTGTGGATTTTGCACGCTAGGCTAGGACATCAAGTTATGAGTCTTAGGGTAAGGGTAAGGACTCAGAAGTCAAGCCTTTACACAAGCAGGTAGGGTTAAGTATGCCATTATCTGGTCCTACTTAGAGGTCGTCTAAAGCGGAGGCACATCATGTGATCAATAGCCAATAAAATTACAGAATTTTGATGTTCACCAGCGAAGCAAAAAAACAAAAAACCTGAAAAATACAAAAAACAGCAGTCTAAACCTACCTTAGGTAGGTTAATCAAAAATG